TTAACCCTGGAAGCTTTATTTATTTTATAATAAATATATTTTTTAAATATTATAAAATAAATAATTTAAATTCTATATATATGTGAAAAAAATAGTACAAATGTAATATTGTACTTGGATAAGGTGCATATTACATTTGTACTATTTTTTCACATTGTGTGGCGGTCTCACGCAATTCTGGCCTTAACTACCCGTTTCATTATTTTTCAAGATGCCTGAATGACCAGTTTTTTGGTCGTTGAGGTATAGCTTGCAACACGCTGATGAGGGCCAACAGCCCGAAACGCGTCCGTGGTTAGCTTTTCTTGATTAATCAAGAATGGGTATTTGACCAATTCTGGAATAATTAAAAAGCAGCGAGAATAGTTGATATTTATTCCGATAGATGGCGCAAGCCATCAGCAACTTTCAGTTGCACGATAAGGAGATGCCTTTTTTTCACAATCTATATATATGTGTATAAGTAATACTTAAAGCCTCCCCGCATAAGTTTCTTTTTTGTGAAAAATCAATATTAATTTCAAAGAGAAATATGTACTATTTCTAACTTTTTGGATGACGTATGAAAAGGTTGAATATATGAAGAGTAATGGTGTATATATGATTAGATGACGTATGAAAGGGTGAAAATGTGAAGAGTAATGACGAACGGAAAAATAAAAGTGTCCAGGGGCGGGAATCGAACCCACAACCTTCTGCTTACCGGGCAGGTGCCATGTCCACTAGGCTACCCTGGACGTATTTTTCCGTTCGTAACTAATACTTAAAGTAAATTTTTAATACATTATAAAGGACTGCGGCGTATGATTATATATATATATATATATGTGTGTAAAAAGAAAAGTAGGGTTATGTTTATAATTTTCACCGATAGATGGCAATAATAATAAATACTTTGCTACCATATTGTTACACTGAATTACAGTTGTGCCCCACCATCATCCTTGATTTCCTCCTTCTTTGTGTGTATAAACATTTACCGAGTCTCCATAATAAAGACAATATAAGTAAATAATAAAGTAATTACCTTTAAAAGTTGTTCTGTTTATTCGTTGTTGTCTTCCTGGGGTGATCCCAAGTCTTCATGGCTCCTGTATCAATAGGTCCGTGTTCACACCTACATACAAAAAGTGGTGTATAGTTCCAGTGATACAATGATTTGTTTGATTTCAGTGATTTATTTAGAGCACATTTGTCATGATTTGATTTTTTAGGTTGGCTATAATTCCAGTGGTGTTAACTATATACACACATAATAGTCTGCAAATATAAATAAAGAATTCTTCCTGAATTGAAATTAGACGAAAAACATGGTGAAGGAAGATGAGTTTCTTTTATTGATGCATAACATACAGTATATAAATAGTTTAAAAACTTTCCTTATATATATATATATATCCCTTCCTACCATTTGTACCATATTTCTTATAAGTCGCGCTTCATTGCTCGCCTGTTGAAGGGTTTTTACCCGAAAGCTTGCACCTATGCATCAATAAAAGAAACTCGTCTTCCTTCACCATGTTTTTCGTTTAACATAATAGTTTATTATTATTATTATTATTATCCCTAGTACAACGTGTGGTACAGGCCATGATAATCATGGTGGGTAGAAGTTGGCAACTGCTTTCACTGTAAAATGCACCACATGTTTACACATGTGAAAAGTAGTTCGACTATTGCACTTACAAATGTGCCATAGTCGCTAGAGGGGTTGAACTTTTTGTAAGAATCGGGGGCCATTGGAGCATTTTTTAAAAAATATATAATAGTAATAATACATACACTCTGTCTATATATATATAACGAATGAAGACATATATACA